TTGTATCGATGCAATCGCGCGTTTGTATCGATGCAATCGCGCGTTTGCATCGCTGCTAAAAGTCGCCGTGTGCAACAGCTCTAAGATACGAAATGTTTTTTAGTCCACCGATCGATGACTATGTATTAATTTGCGCTGTAGTGCCGCATCACACAATTATAGTGAGCCCCATCCTTGGAGTTAGCGTTCAATGAAAATATATGAACTCGGTAAACATATCGAATTCCATTTGTAATGTTCAGTTTCAGCAGTCTCGGAATTTGAATCGAAAATATCAGAACTTTTGAAATTACAGGCTGAGTATCATGTTGACATTCAAGTCAGGATTAGTTAAAGTTTATAAAGGCTTCCTACACTTGCGCAAAGTTACATACACAGAGAAATAAATAAATTTACACAGCGTTACAAGATACATGAATGAAATTCTCATATAGGAAAAGGGTCTCCTTTTTTTGCGTCTGCAAATGCACGCTAATTCCTATTCATAAAAAAATCAAATTAAAGACATTAATTTTTCGTCATGTACGATCAGTCTGCACTATAAATAATATGGAGATTATAACCAGCTGAAACTGGCACTTTTTAACCAGGTAGGATCAAAATTCAGCTATGATTAAGAACGGTTGCGGCAACGATGCAGCGATGCAGTAGCGCTAATCGTCTACCTTTACACACGCGCGCGCGATTTTAAGCAGCGATGCAAACGCGCGATCGCTTATAAATCACAAGTGTAGCGATGCAAACACACGTTTCATGAACGGTTCTGTTCATGAAACGCGTGATTGCATCGCGTCCCACTCTTTCGGCCAGTTTTTACCGCCGTTATCAGACACATTAACTAAACTGGTGTAGACTGATAGCTATGATATTCCTATAGATAAATCAATCAAAGTTTTCCCGTTTTATTATATAGATTACTTTTTTTACTTCACAATAGCTTCGCGTGTCTTGAAGAAAGGATCTCAGCAACGTAACCTCAATTCATCAACAGATCGACTGTTTTACCTGTTGTCCGTTATATCGATGCAGTTACAGCAATCGCGAAATTTCACAGAATATTTTGTGGCCATGCGCACGTTTATCTTGTGTATATGGATATTATGCGAAGGAAAATAGCACCCTAGAAATATTTACATAGCTCGGCACTTGTCTCTTTATATATTATGTCAGCGTGATATGCAATATTATAGTGAATTATCCGTATGACGTATAACCAGCATTTACAAAATTTAGTTACCTAAATTAGTTCTAGTTCCACGTATATTGCACACGAAACCAAACACTGTCGTATTTTTCGTTGGATGGAGAAAACACGATTTGAAAATTAAAAAGAAAACTGAATGAAACGAATACATATATATATTCTAGTTATTAAATATATAATTAAGTGTTATGTACAAATAAAAATAACCACATTATTCGCAATACGATCCATTGTTTTTTTTTACTTTTAATTTGCGTTTTCTCAACTCTACAATTTTGAGTTACGAAAACATTTGATTACATGAGCGTGTGTACAATTATCTTCAGACATTAGCGTAAATAAAAAATCTAAACATAGAAACATCGCAAGTCTTATCACTTTGTGATGAAAATGTACCCCTTTTTTATCTTAAAATAAAACACCTTCATTTCGTTGTGCCTGGTAATCTAATGGATTGTATATAAATTTTCGAAAAGACAGAATGTATTCTGTGAAGGCACTGATTATGACGGTCTAATAATATCCTTGAAACTCCATTACAAATTGTGTAGAGCTCGCAGTTGCCTCGGCCAATCAGAGCGTGCGAATTTCGCGATGCACGGTTACCACAAAGGTCTCGTTCCGATCTGCACGTTGGTTCTCAGCATGTATACTAAATCTATGGTTACCACTAACTCCAAATCCTCTATCTAGTCTTATTTAATCTTACGATGGTAGTCTTTTTTTACTTAAGAAGTGGATATTATTGTTGCTGTCTCTATCGATTTGTGTCATGTATCTATTTCGTAATTCCATGTTTATTAAAATATTTTGTTCACAATAGCATCACCTGATTGCGCGAAAAATACTTTGATCGAATTTTGAATTAAATTGACAAAACCGCAAACTTAGATATTTAGTTTCTAGATCGCGTCTACAACATTTCAATAGAGTTTGATGAGTTTGTAAATAATGAGACCAAATTTCATTTTCAGCCTAAGCTCTTAAAACTAATACAATCTTTCCATCGAAAACACGTTGCCAGCAAGGCGACAATTGCAGTACTCAATACGCATTCAAAAATACATCGCTGTTTTTCAAGAATAGTGACCCAATCCAAAAAAGGTCCCTTTTTCATTTATTACTGTGATTTTTCCACAAAATGCTAAATTTTATTGTGATTGAATTCTAAGCTTTTCATTACTTAAAATAATCACATGACAACATCGGGATGGTCAACGATTGGTCAAAATAGGCCAGCAGACGATGTTCATCTTTTTCAAGCCAACTTCCTGATGAATTACATGCTTTTAAATAGGCCACTACTCTAGAAATTATGTTTTATTGTTAAATAAACCTAGATTTGCACAAAATCATTTAATAATCACTGCAATCGCAAAGCAAAACAATTAGAACATAATATTTAGAGACATTAGAAATGCCTAATGTTCGAAGTGGTCACAAGCAGTATTCGCAATAAGAGTTCATTATTTACGCATTGAAATATTTGTCCATTCAACATCAGATAGGACTTGCGACATAACCAACCTTCATTAAGATGAGCAATGCTTTTAACCAAAAGACGACGTTCCAAGGTACTATTCCGAGTGCCACTACACCATGCATTTCGAACGTTGCGACAGAAGGCTTCTAGTCGATTCGCGAAATAGAGAAACAAGTGAATATAGCCTTATTTTACCTCAGTTGGAAATCGAGTTCCACATAACTATATACATATTAAATGCTAGCTAATTTATTTTGTATTACAAACAGTAGAAGCCAGGTAACAGTTGAATAAACTAGATAGTACGCTATTTGCTACTAATGTTAGTTTTTATGGTAACATTAACAGGAAATAGTGTTAGCCACATCAACATTCGCAAAAGTCAGGTTTTGTTCTTACTGTTAAGCAATCGCTATTGCTTTTTTAAGAGAAAATTTTAAACTTTTAAATGGCTCTTTAATCTTTGCTATAGAACGCAAGCAATTATAAAGTAAAAGGCAGGTATTCGAGATATCATTAGTGGAAAGGTGAAGTCATTAGACTAACTGCGCCAGTTTGCAAAAATGAATCTTATGTTTTATTGATTTTTTTTTTGCAATCAATCTATCCAAATTACGTATCGATCTGAGCAATTGTCAGCGCTTCAGTACTAGGACCATTCGCCATTTTAACTTTATTATTTTATAATTTCTCTGCAAAAGTTTCTTTTTTGAAAGTTTTCAACAAGGGCAATAATTCGAAGATATGTGGAGTGGAGGAGACATGCACTGCGCCATCGTAACTATAAGCGTACCATACGCTACAGCTTAATACCCTTTACTTAAAGAAAACTATTTAACAATAGAATGTATATCATAGAGTACAGCACAACAATGCAATCGACTTTGAAAGTATAGTATTGCGAGCGCGCCACTCCACACAAATGATCCTGTTTTGATAACTATATTTTGATATATGATTTGATAATATAAAATTGAAAACGGACTGCTAACACGCAATTTATGACCAAAAACACCCCAACGTTATGGTAATTTTTACAAAACAAGTTTTAAAAACATGTCACCCAGATCCCGCCGGGCCCGGACCCGGTCGACGAAATTTTTCCTGTGTTCGATCTTTCTATACTTAATCATAACAAAGCTAGTGGAGTTATTTCACAAAAAACCTCAAGAAATAAAACAAAATGTTTAAGAAAGACCATGTCCGTATAAAACAATTATGCATTCCCTATTAAAACAATTACTCTACTAATATACTAATATTTGAACTAATATCTATCTAATATTTGAACATCAAACTACGAAATGTATATACAGGCGGAAATGTTTCCAAGCAAAGTATTGTTTCGCAATTACGTCTGCACTCGCATGTACACGATAGAGACAGCAACAGTGTTACTAAACTTCAAACGTGATAGTGCGCCGCGCGGTCGATTAAAATTTCATAAATACATGTTTGCGATTCTCCATCGACACTTCGTACATGCACCTAGAATAAATAGATATCTGTTGATAACATTTTTTGTCCAAAGTTAAAAAAAAAATGCTATACCTTATATATTAGTGGATGCGGCAGATTTTGTCGGCTGAGGTATGATAGTAATCTCATCATTAATTTTGAGGGGCTTGGTCGTAGATTCATTGGCCGGCTTTGATAATGTGCTAGACTTGTTCTTATCCATAACTCGTTTAGCCACCACGCTGTGGGCCGAATAGACGTGGTTCTCAAACTGCTTGTACATTCCAAACGTAGCTGTGCACACAGTGCATTTGTACGAGAGGTGTGCTGGTTTCAAAGTTAAATCGTGATCTCGCGCAACATGGTTAAGTAATTTCCATTGGTACACCTGAAATCAGAAAAAATAATAAAGAGTGTTGTTTATAAGCTTTAAATGGTCAACAAACAATATATAATAACAGACACATAGTTGAATTGATATTGATATTCCTTACCCTGCCACAGACTGGGCACCTGCCAGCATCTTTGCCTTTGTTTGCAGCTTCCTGCATTGAACTGGTAACTAAGCCATGGGAACCCAACAAGTGTCTCTCAAGACCCTGGTCAGTGAAGAACCTGTAAAGTAGATAATATAAAATACGTCAATAAATTTCAATAATAACAATAGACATTTATATCACGTATAAATACAACAAAATCATTAAATAATTACAATATCATTACATACTTAACACATAAAACTTCATATAAAATTTTGCCATTGGACCAAAAAAACAATAATAGACAATAAAATGAACTAGCTGTCATCTACACATCTGACAGTGCAAAAGCACGATAATGCAGTGTTACGTCATCCACTAGAGTGCTCAGTATTCATTTATATTCATTAATCTCGCAAGCGAAACCTGCACGAGACTATACGAGTTCTAATGATGGCATAGGAATTGGCCACCCTATTTTACTAGTTTGTCCGCTCAGAAAAATCAATTGTTCATTCAAATGTAGAAAACCATCTTACCTAAATTGACATTTTTGGCAATTCAATGGTGGTCGATTGTAGATCATTTTGGGATGTATTTTCACTTTATGTATCCATTGCATGTGGTTCCTAAGTTGCTCTAAGTCTTTGATGTACCCATCACAAATTTCGCAAATGACAAACGTGCTCTTTCCAGGAGGGGTGGTCTGCTGAATGGCAGGCGCCGCCTGCCGAGGTAGGGGCGTGATAGAAATAGAAGGCTGAGACTTTGTCTTTCCATTATTCTGTAAATAAAAATAAAATAAAAATCCTTGTCCATTATGTAATATGAATCACACAATTATATTTCTTAGTTAGAAAACTCATGCTTAGATGTAACATAACTTACGGAAACTGGATAGTTATTGGGTAACAGTGTAGAAGATGGAGAATTGTGTCGAATCATGAGGCCACCGCGCATAATAGGTGTGCCATGCACAGGCGCAGCGCGTGGAGTAGCTGCCATCGGAGAGCGGCCACGTGGCCGAAATCCGCCGCTTGCTCCCGGCATCATGTTTGCGATCGATATTGGTCTGTTCATGTTCAATTGACGATTTACTGGACTCTGGTAAGAGTTCACCATATTACGTGCCTTTGATATCTGAAAAAGTAATAACTGAAATAAACATCTAAAGATAACGGAATAATACAATAAGAAAGTAACAAAACGAAGCATTTTCACAAACCTTTGGTATCTTCGCAGGAGGCTCCCACTCCAAGGGTGGTGCCAAGTTTGCTTCTGGTTTAAATTTCTTTGCACATGCAATTTGATGACGAGCAAACTTGCCTTTACCATTTTCTTCAAATGGACAGTTAGGGCACTGGTGATAAGAAGGAGCTCTCTCAAGCCTACCCCTAACTTGATGTTCTTCTTGCATGTGCAATAAAATTTCATGAGGTTGTTTGTGTACAAAGGGTAAACAGAAATTGCATTTGTACAGATTATTTTTCATGTGAGGAGTTTCTAAGTGATGTTGCATAGCTAATGTTGATTCAGATTTAAAAGAACAAAATTCACACTTTGTTTGAGGAAAATGGTAAGGTGCATTATTCTCTTTGCTAAATTCTAAATTTTTGATAAGGGAAGCTATAGAGCTCTGTGTAGCTTTTGTGCTATTGCCTGTCTTTTTCTCTCTGTTTAGCTTACGAGTTTGCTGTTTCAGTAAATCATTTTGTACATATTCTTGGACAAGATTTAAGCCTATAGTTACGAAAAATTTTCCAAGTGAGCAATCAAAATAATTATCTGTTTTTACACCACCAACTTTGTCAGCGGTCAAATCAGTGACTTCTTTTATGTCCTCAATAGAGTCTTCTTTGTCTTTGAGGACAACAGTGTCCTCATCACTAAGGATTTCATCTTCAGAATCACTAGACGATTCACCATCCCAAGAAGCATCGTCGTCGTCATTCCGTCGCCTTTTTCGTTCTGTAAAGAATAGATGATAATTTAAACAAATTGAAACCTATGTATGAAACTACCAAGTGCCTGCTAAATATAATATAAATTATTATACCTTTTCTCTCAGCCTTTTTTTGCTTCTTTTCCAGATTTTCTGTTTCTGCTGTTATAGTGACATCATCTTCAGAAACTTCCTCTCCTCTTTCCCTCCTTTCCTTCTTATCTTTGTCTCGCTTATCTGACTCTTCTTTTTCTCTTTCTTGCTTCTCTTTTTCTGCCTTGGCCTTTTGCTCCTCTAACTGTTTTCCTAAAATATCTACAAATTCTCTAAATGGCTTCACTGAAGGTTTTTCATACACATAAGGTACTATAAATGAAGGTGCTTCAACCACAAACATGTCATCTGTTAGTGAGGGAAGTAGGATAGAGGCTTGCGGAGTTGCAGGACAGTTTTGAGACGATGAATTGGCTTTTACTGGTGTCACAGTGGTGCCACAAGCAACAATACTTTGATACAAACTTTGAGCATTGGCACTTAAATGAACAGGTGCTGCTTTAGGCTGTGATGGTGATGCTTTAGCGTTATTGCTGTCAATAATTACTACTGTAAGTTCTTTATTCTGGTTGCCTTGGTTCAATTTCTTTTTATTTGCAGCCATCTCAACCAATTTTTTTGCATCATTGATAACAATCGATTTTGATTTGGTACCAAGAGGGTCATCCATTTCTATCTCTTCAACATCAGATTCATCATCACCATTAACAAGGTCATTGTACTTCTTACGTTTGATAGCTCTATTACTACGACGTAGTGGAATCTTATTTTCACTAATGCTTGAGTTTGACTTTTCATCAGTCACAACACAATCATCATTGTCACTTAATATTTCCTGTACATCAGGACTACCAGAACTTACAGATTTTCCATTTTGACTTCCATTTCTATCATCGTTTTCAACAATAATAATATTATTATAACTATTATTCCCTTTACTTCCTTCTAAAGATTCATCTACATAATCAGGCTCTGAGTCAGAATTGATACTGACAGTATCCGCCTCCAATACAGATTCGCCCTCTCCTGCTGATAACACCGAGCCTTCCCCATCAGATGACTCCTCTTTAAACTCTTCCCCACCAGAATCCTGAAAATTGCATTTGAAATTAATTATTCGTAGTACTAAATACCTCTGCTAATAATCTTATTTCACTAATTATGATTTATGATTAATAACCATTTGATTATAAATGTAGTCCAAGTGGAATAAAAAATTATTCTTTAAATTAAAAAAAGACCAAACTTACCCCAGTTCTATTAGTGTCAGTCTTATCACAAGTCTGTTTGTTTTGCGCATCTGATTGAGCATCTTTACTTTTAAATTTGTCTTTGTTTTTTGAAGAGCTTTGTGAAGAATTGGAACATGATTCATTGCTATTGTTGCAATGGTTGCTCAATGGATCTTTGCTGTCTTTCTGATCTATGTTACAGCTATCAAATGAATTGTCCCCATAATTCTGTTTACTATCAATTAATTCTCCATTACTCTTTGTTGTAGAACTCCCTGTAGACTCATTCAAAGGATTACTTTTTTCAGAGTTGTTGCTGTTGTCACAATGACTTTTAGTGCTTTCATTAGAATTGTATTCCTCGGAGGCAACTATCTTATTATTTACTGGTGGATTATCAGATGCCACAGTGGATGCTCCCATGGTTCCATTAACTTCTCCATTCATGTTTTCTTATTTACATTACAGCTGATGGAATCCTGTTAAAACAAATGTTAAATTAGGTTATGTTGTCTACTTAAAAACTGAAAAAGAAGAGAAAAAACTTATTGAGCGTCGTATTTTTTTAGTGAATACTGTCCCCTCCTCCCCGCCACTATCCCCCCTGGCAAGGCACAAGCAATCAAAATGGCGGTTCCATAGTACAAGTCGGCGGAGCTACGTGTACATAATGTACCTAGTAATACAACTCTAAGGTCACCACACCAAAATGTTAGACAGCAAATTAAAAATATAAAAACACTAAAAATGGTAGTTTGTTTACGTAAAATTTAAATTTACCGAATAACACAAGTTGTATTCGTTACTTGTTTCGATGTTATTCCACAAATTCACATTTTTATTACCGCCGACAATGGGTTATCTACGTATCATTCTGTTAAATTATTCATTTACAAATCTATCAATAAAAGTCCATTATTTAAAGCGTCGTTTTGATTATTTACACACGATTTAAACGTAAACAATTCATGCCGGGTTCAACTTTCTTAATTCACCTATGCAAAAAAGCTTTCAGTTCCTACATTTATCGACATTGGAAGTATCATAATATACATCACCTAATCCAGACTGCAGCGCCCTGTCGCTGAACCTTTTCTGGTACTCGGTACTACTTGGTTATTTCGATGGTAGATTATTCAGTGAGAATTTTCTATCGTGCAAAGGTACAATTTAGCACTGCGAATTAAATATTACTACAGCTACAAGGATAAACCTAAACACATAATTGTAATATTACGCGTTAATTCAGTTTTTTGATATTTTAAAATATTATACGATTCAACGAAGACCACTTCACCACCGTTCAAATACAATATGGCGGCGATGATGAGTCACGTGACTTTGTCAGAAGGATGAAGGAAAAGCAGCAAGCGTACTTAGGGACGCAGACTCGATTCAAAAGTATCGATACTGTACTCATGAATAACATAGTATCGTACTCGTAAACGTATCACAACAAAAGTATATCGATAGAGGTAGCGACCTCTAGGTAAAAAGACAGCAAAGTAAAAATATAAAAACACTAAAAATGGTAATGTTTGTTTACGTAAAATTTTAATTTACCGAATATCACAAGATCTATTCGTTACTGGTTTTGATGTTATTCCACAAATTCATATTTTATTTACCGCCGACAATACGTTACCTACATACCACTCTGTTAAATTATTCATTTACAAATCCATCAATAAAAGCCATTGTATAAAGCGTCGTTTTGATTATTTACACACTTGTTAATTTAAACGTAAACAATTCATGCCGGGTTCAACTTTTTTAATTTTCCTGTACAAAAAAGCATTCAGTTCCTGTATTTATCGACATTTGAAGTATTGTAATATACGTCACCTAATCCAGACTGTCGCTGAACCTTTTCTGATGCTCGTCCGCTACTTCGTTATTGCGATGGTAGAATACTCAGTGAGAATTTTCCGTCGCGCAAAGGTACAATTCAGCACTGCATGTTAAATAATTACTGCAGCTAGAAGGATAAACGAAACACATAATTGTAATATTACGAGTAAATATCGAGTTCTTAGGTTTTCGCGATTGTTACACATAGGAAATGGTCAACCGTGACCATGGTACCTATAAAGGGCCCGAAACGTCAGTTTGTTTGAAAAAACAAATATACACGATTTAAATCCGGAAAAATAGTTTCATTTCCTATTACGAGTAAATTCAGCATTCCCAAATTTTAAATTATCATTATGCGATTCAACGAAGAGCACTTCACCTTCGTTTAAATACAATATGGCGGCGATGACGAGCCACATTAATTTGTTTCCTGACTAACCTTCATTCTCCTGGATCAAGGAAAAGCAGGCAAGATAAAGTATACTTAGGGACACAGTATCGAATCAAAAGTAGGTATCGATAGTTTTGTTTTTTGCAGATTTTCCCTACGTAAAGACAGAATGAAACACATGAACAATATGTTTTTTAATAGATTTATGATTTTTTATTGAAACAAATAATAAAAGACTATGATTAATTAAATCAATCATTATTTCACATAACTTATGTTAGTTCCTCCGCCCCTGTACAATAACTTTAAAACAAAAATCGATTTGGTGACAGTCTGTTTCTCGTTTTTGATATTGTATTGCCTGCTTTTGAGAACAAACGTTCTGAAGCAACAAACAAAGCCGGAATTGCGAGGTACTCTAAAATGTTTTTATTGTTGTGTTTTGTAACTGTTTTTCTTCATTCTCATTTCTATAAAGAGACTAATGGTGGCATACACTATAGAGCCAAGTCATTTGTACTTGTCAAAAAGTATTAATACCTGAAAAGTATCGAGTGCAAAAATATCGGTATCGGAAGTAAATACTCGATATCAAAAAGTGTCGATACTTTCCGTATCCCAAAGCGTACTATTCAGTGATAACATGTTGGCCAATATGGTCGCTGCTTTGTTTTTGATATAGCGAACATGTCAGCCAACCTTAGACTATTTTTTTTCCGTACTGTAAGCAGCCAACTCATTTCAAATTGGTCTATACTTGCCAACTTGGGTATTTGCCTTAGAGGATGGAAAAAAAATCATTTCCATAGTCTAAGGTTTTTGCCTCCTGGAACTCTACTCAATACTCAAGTCAGGACTTGAGTATGATTTAAAGCATTAGAAATCATACTCAAGTCGTTGCCATTGGGGTCGTATTTCCAGTGCTTGTAATTATACTTAAATCCTGACTTGAGCATTGAGTAGAGTTCTGGAATACGACCCTTAGACTTTTTATTACATCACTATGAAAAACAAAACAAAAATACTGGATGAAATCCTGGCTAACATCATATAACAAGTTTAATATTTCTAACATATTCGCTAATTAATGAAGCCCTTGTAATAACGATGTCCACGTATTTTTATTAGTAAATTATTGAAACAATTAGACGTAATTGAATTTTCAAAATCAACTTTATGTGAAATAAATTTAAAACATTACCTTCGTATTCGTATTAACTTCGTAAACTAAAGCAGTTTATGCATAAAAAAGAAAAATGTAAATATTAAAAAATCTTTGAACTTACAACGTAAAGTTAGAAAGTTTACAAGCTTATATAAAGCATAGAGCATATAGCACAGGAGACGGTATGCATTATTTCTCAAACAAAACTGTCTGCCGATTTTTGCGGGGCGGGAAGGTACTACTATACGTACAACCAAACAGGTGCACTCAAATGCAATAACGAGATTTGTGTCTTTCTGTAGTCTCATACAAACAAAATCCGACAACACTCGCTTACTTTTACAAATATATAGTTAAAACAGCATCCATAGCATGTCCGCACACAGAATACGCCTTTATAAAGAAATCGATTCCAATGGATTTGCTAGTGCCGCGACGTTGCTAACTTTCAATGTCGATGAATATAATGTATAATAAAATATTGAAAAAGTAATTAACAATTCAAATTAGGTTCACCTACACTCAGCAGTTGGACGTATAATAATGGGCCAATGATACATCAAATTAAACAAGTTCGGCTATTTATTTCATAAGCGTAACTACTGTTGGGTAATTTTCCGAAATATTTCAAATAGTGGACATTTTTCCGGAAAAAGTCACGAAAAATTGGAAAAATATAATTTGAAGTTTTCGAAAGTTTGTTCATATTAAACGGCCCATTCACTACCTGCGTGGCAGTCCGCCGCGCAGGCAGGAGACTGTTCACACACTATCCTGTGTATGGTCCACGTAAGAAATCTCGCAGGACGCATTGCAGGATTGCAAGATGGCTTGCACGCTGCGACTGCTTTCATAATCCTGCATTACGCGGCGGACGGTAAGGCAGACTGCAATGCAGTATAACGAAAGCCTCCTTTTATGTTCTGCGTTTAGTTAAATATCTTTTGAAGTTTTGAATCGTGAATTGTAAAATAAAATTTTTAGCATGTAGCAAGTTATAGAAAAATTATTGAGCATCAGCGAAAAAAACCTTTCCTGCGCCATCGTTTTCTTTCAGTAATTTCAAGTTTTGACAGGTGTCAACGTCAAAGGTGGAAAAATGAAGTACGGGGAAAAATGTCCGGAAAAATATCATTTTTCAAAATAAAAATTTTCCCATGCCCCAACACTACTCCATCGTCAAAAAAGACAGACTGTTACCTAATCATAACTCCTTCCTATCAAGACAGTTTCTATAAAATATTGTTATATCCATTCCTGATTTTTCCTATTCTATTGTAAATTTTTTGTTATTTTGTATTAAATTTTATTGACGTTGGCACAAAGCAGTTTACTGCCACCAAAAAAACAAGCAACATGACACAATCAGTTACTCATTATTTTCCCATTGGTTTGCATGAGCGTGTATTTAAATTGTATTGTACATTTAATGGCACAGTCTGTCGATGTTTTTTGTTGTTTAAAAATCAGTACTAAGTATGACATTACTTTCTTAGATTAGAGCTATAGAGTCATTTTAGAAATTTTGTTGTTTGAGCAAAGGTTAAACCCAAATTTTTTATTTTTTTCTTACAACATAGACACTACTGTTCGACTGCTCAGCGTGACGCGTGTGAAATTCGTATGAGATTTTGAACGCACCTGGAAACTGTGAAGTCTCATGAAGTCTGACGAACACGAAGAGATGGCTGTACTTTTGTAGTGAAATAATTTTATTTTGCAATGTGTTACAAATCTATTCTTAAATATCATTTTAAATTTTAATATATTTTTCTTATTTTTATTTTTTCATTCTGAGATTGTTACCTATTTCTTTTTTTTAAGTGTACTAGTCATATAAAAATATAGTGATATGGTGATAATGGCATATCAAGTGTTGTTAGTTTTTATTTTAGCAATAATTTGTGTAAGGACTGAGGAAGAGGCTTCGTCGTCGTCGTCTGCTTTACGGATGTCGAAGTTGGAAAGAATAGAACTAAGGTAAGGAAATGCAATTAGAATTTCGCTAATAGACTTAGCAACAGAAAACAATGTCTATCTAGTTTTCTGTTTCATGTTAGATAACATGAAACAGAAAACGTTTATTACAGTGTAGGTAACATTTATCAAGGCTGAGAAACAAATATGCCTAGAAGTTATGTTTAATTATTAATTATATGTGACCTATGGCTTTATTTTGACTATATATATATTTAAATATTTTGTTACCTTGATTTTTTGAATAAACTTGTAAGACATTCTGAAAATAAACATTATGGGTATCACATGTATAGGAAAATACATATTTTTAATAGCACTCTGATTACCCATATTCAGGCCTAAAACAAAGTGTAATTACGGCTTTCTAACAATGTATGATTCAAGGTAACTTTAATAATTTGCTTGTTAACATACTTGAGATGATTCGAAAAACAAAATTTTATCAATAATCATTATTATCTGATTCATAAGACTTTTAATTCTATGCAGGGAAGAAGCCAGGCGCATGTTCTACCACGCTTACAATGCATACATGGACAACGCATACCCTGCTGATGAACTTATGCCACTCAGTTGCCAGGGAAGGTGGAAAGGTGTTACACCAAGCAGGGGTGATATGGATGATGCGCTGGGCAAGTAAGTAACCTGTTAATTTGTAAATTAATTGTAATGTTGTAAATTAATTGTGTTAAAATGCAGATATAAGACTTATTTATATTTATGGATTAATAAGTGACCTCTTAACTAGATGACTGGGCCTGGTTGATGACATGTATGTGAGAAAACAAATATACGCGATTTAAATCTGGTAAAAATAGTTTCATTTCCTAAGTGTAACAATCGCTAAAACCTAAGAACTTGAGACATGTATGTGAATTAAGAACTTTATACATCACTTTCACACGGAACTTTTATGTATAAACTATGTACAAACAGTAAATTTGCTATTTTAGGAACATTTAGCTGTGTTAAAGAGTAATGTAAGATAACAAAACCAATTGACTCCTTAAGGCGAAAATTTAACTGTAAACCTCTTTAGTGAAATGTTTAAAATAGCTAGAACAAATTTTTTGTCAACTCAAAATCTTCACCTTATTGGGCAGGGGCCATATTTGCACACAAGAAGCATGCATTGTATTTAGTCAGACTGTGTTTAATCATATAAAAGATGTTTTCCCTGAGAGATAGTTTTATTGTAAATTGGGAACATTGAATACAAAAAGCTGCAGCCTTTGTGTTAATTGTTTAGACTCTAGATGAACGACATTGATACTAGAGGTAGGTACAGCATGATATGGATATTGGTAAGCACAAAAATGGTTTAAGGAAAAAGTTAGTTTAAAGGTTTAAACTAACTCTTACTACATATCAGTGTCAGAGTATTCTTCAAATGGGTCTACCAGTAGACCCAAAGACCCACAAACTGGTAGCTAGCTACCTCGCTTTTGCTTAGCCAAAAAAAGGGACAACTACTAATATTATGGCTAATGCTATGTAAACTTAAGTCTTTAGTGTATACTAGTCCCTTGCATTTGAAAGTTTGTATTTCTTTGAGTTTAACACTTAAAATTATGGTATGATTTATTTCAACAAAATGCATGAAATTTGTTTGTCTTGTATTTTACCTTTATTGACTTGCATTCGACTAGAGACTATTCTATACTCTATTCTGTTATATTGATTAATCTATACTAAACCTAAAGTCTGAATATTTGCAAACATTGGCTAACATGTCGATTAATATGTTTATAGAGTGGTTTTTAACGTAGATAATATGTTATCGCATACATAAAAAATTTGTTCAGGCTTGCTAATTTGAAGTTTTGTCTTGTGTTTGTTACGTATGGGAGAAAATGTGTGAATTGTAATTTTAGGGTCTTTACATTTTACAAGTACTTGAGGGTTCATTAGGTTTAACACTTCTTCTAAATTGTAAATATACGCATTCCGGTACTTTTAACGGTACACTAGTAAAATCCCTAAAATAATGTGGTCATTTTTCAGATGTCTATATGTTTTACTTTTTATTTTAGATCTAATTTGTAAGTTAAAAAATTGTGTACTATCATTTTTTTTCAATTATTTCTATTAATTTACTACTCACAGGTTTGTTGAGTTTTTCGGGGTTGATTTTGCATTCTGACCAGATTATATCCAGAAAAAATAATAATTTGTTTTCAATATGTAACAATCGCTAACATCTAAGAACTCGATAGATGTGAATATATTTTTTTGGTTCCGCCAAATGTGCACGGGCACAATATGTGTGTGTATAAAATACGTGTAATAAAAAAAAAATAAAAAAATAACGCACACACTCAAAATAGGACTAGAACATCCTCAACCTAAATTATTTTCATAAAAACAACTTATTTTCTTGTCCTTGACTAATAGAAACAAACAAATGCTTTGCTTTGCGAGTGATACGTCGTTGGTAACTTAATAAAGTACACTTAATGTCTTGCATCATGCATATCATGTCTTCGATGCTCCGAATACCGCTCGGTACAGAGCGTTTTTTGCTGTTTGTATGTACTGTATTCGTGCGCCCAGGGAAAACTCGTCGCCGAGATAGCAAATATTTTTCAAAATACGTATTGCGCTCGGGAGCCGGCGCTTCACAATTCTTTTGACAAATATACAGTATGCGACTTGTAAGTTTAGCGTATGACTATACTTAAATGTTATCAACATAAAGATATTTAATCGAAGAAGACGCAGTAGAGCTCCTTGTGAAAGAGTTCGTATATGGAAGTACTGTCACCTTAGGTAGGTACCTATTTCTGTCGCCAAGCTGTAAACTGAGCACTACGGTTTTGACGGGTAAAGGTGTTGGTGAAATTACAGGCACATGATTATTATTTTACATTCATTTACATTTCCATTACATGGCAACGGGGACAGTGGCATGCGCCCCTCAGATCTTTGCTGTTTATAGCTCTGAGTAGCACTGCAACTGCTATGGACAGGCGTGTCGATTACCACCAGGCGCACAACATTTTCGTTCCGTCACTTTTATAAAAAAAAATCGAACGGATTTTGAGATCCAAGTGAATTCCAAATCTATTATGCCCTGCACAGTATTATAATTATGTTTCTAGATAAATCTGTGAACTGGCTACTTTGTTTTACAACCTACTTAGTTTTGCTCAATGTTCCTCGACAACATGTCAATTACCCAAACAATGTTTCTGTTATCAATTATTTTCGCCTTGCCATTCAGTTTATAAACGCAAGGCGTAGGTAAAATTGCGATAAAAATAATTATTTTGCAAGGTTACTTAGAATAAAAAACTTAGTAATATTTTTTATTAAAATTGTACTTTACTAGTTAACTGAGGTTGTTAAAAAATTATCGACACAATATGCAAAGAACCTAGAAAATCATTCCATTCATTGTTCGCATTGACTTACAAATTGTTCGTTAACTTTAGTAATAACTAATAACAGAATAGACTTATTGTAAACTCGGACATAATAATAAAATCTAGTACTTTGCAATGTCATTGTTTTATAATTTCTTTCCCAATATAGATAAAACTTAATGTGTACCTATAATGAAATTAATATGTGTCGTCATGCGAAGCGTAATCTGTGATTACAGTCATACTATACCATTGCTCTTGTTTATGAGAAAACCTAATGCTGTAATACGAAATTTAAAAAAATAAATTAAAGTTTGAAATTGAAGGTTTGTTTTTAACAATTTAAAAAGTATTTTACTAACTTACGTGTGTTGCATATTTGTCATAATATTCTATCATTACTTACTATGTAAATGCGTCGTAACGGATTCGCGACGAAGTAAATCGATTGTTGCGTTAGTGTAGTAGAAAATGAACTACTGATTACTAACCACGGGCAATCAGTAGTTATTTTTTACCTACTGAACAGTTGGACTATATCACGATACATTGCAGAGTTACTCCTACTTGCATGTACCGCTATACATGGATTCATCCATTGACCTACCAAAAAATGAGTACATCACACAACTGGATGATCTTAGATATTTATATAGTCAAAGCTCAGAGCAAGGCAGAAGCCGTCACATACGATCAGAATATCAGCTGCTTAAAAAGCACCTTTATTCATTTCTGAATGATAAACGTCAACCTATTGTTCGTCCCACTGCTGAACACGGCAAAGGACAGGCTTTAGGCCATAATCGCGGGGTAAATGTGAATGTGTGGGGTGTGTGTTCACTCGAGATTCCAAGGGATGTGAAGCTCCTTCGTCATGTAGGCTTTAGGTATCACGATGTGTTCCTTCACTGTTAGCTTCACGCTACCAAAGCTCATTCTGAATTTTACGAACAATAGTATTTCGATGGAAATGCAACTTTAATGTAAGCATTTGTTTCAGTTTTTCTTTAACACTGGTGGATAGTTTGGATACACTGGCGGTTATGGGCGACTTCTCGGAGTTCAGTCGAGCGTTGAAACTCGTCATTAAAGACGTCACTTTTGATAACGACATCGTTGTTTCCGTTTTCGAAACTAATATCCGGATGCTTGGGTAAGTTCGTCCAGGGTAGTACACTGCCATCCTTATCATAAGTAACGTAATCGCATTTTTAACGTAATTGAGTTATTGACATGTCTGGGATCAGCGAAACAAGACCTGCAACCCCATCTCATCGGTTTTTTATTATCTAAATTAGTTTCAGTTTTATTGTTAAGTGAAATCAAAGTAATTGACTTTTTTTAGGTGACCATGAAGCTTTAAGTGCCAATATATCGAAAGTTCCGAAATGCGAATGTGTTAGTTATGACAAGCAGGGCAGTACTGCCACCTTACCTATTTCTGCCGGCAAGCAATAATGTCAGCATTACTGTGTTCCGGTTTTGAAGGGTGCTGGTGAAATTACAGTAATTTAAGTTGACAAGTCCCATGACTTGTCGACTTATGTCTCAGGGTGACGGGCGCACTGGCAGTGCCCCTTGATTTTTGCCGTTTAAAGCTCTGAGTGGTACTGGAATGGTTATAGACAGGCGTGTAGCTTACCATCAGGCGCACGACTTGTTCGTCCTGGCACTTGATATTATGGATTAAAAAAATTTTTTTTATCTAGTATTTTATTATTTTATTGCTGACTCTGTTGCTTAACGCCGCGGTATGTGTAAAGTTGCGTGTTGCGTGTGTAAAGTGGTCATTATTTGTTTTTTATATATTATATTTTATCTGTCACAGAGGTCTCCTGTCTGCCCATGTACTGGCGATGGCGTTGAAACCTGATGTCCCTGTCCTGTGGTGGTACAACGGCGAACTCCTAACAATGGCCGAAGATTTGGGCAGAAGACTGCTTCCGGCGTTTAATACCTCCACAGGGATACCTCATGGAAGGGTACGTTTCCAGTCCTGATTCTTTATGTATAATACAACAAGTTATATAACCATTAGCCCATTAGGAGACAAACATTAGGAATCGAAATGTACCTAGCCTGTTTTTAAGGAAAATTAATTACTTATTTATAAAATTACAACGTTATTTTCCTGCCTGCGAATGAATTATTGCAACAGTGAACGATGCGTATTGTTTCAATATTTTTAAATGTATTTTATTCATATATACGACTTGCACTACATTTATTAATTACTAGCCGGTGCCTGCGACTTCGCCTGTGTAGAATAAGTACTTCGAGTAGCCTATTGTACTATACTAACTTTCATAGTTTTATTGGTTCTCCATACAAACTTTCATCTCCTATTTCCCACTTTCATCCCACACCCTTGAACATTTATTTTCGGCACAAAAAGGAGCCCATGCCCTTCACCTACGTCCCATCTATGTCTATACCAAAACTCATTAAAACTTGTTCAGCGGTTTAGGTGGGAAAGAGTGTGAAACAGACAGACATAGAGAGAGTTACTTTCGCATTTATAGTAAAGGGTCTCCCCATAAGAGGTTTCATTCATAGGCAAAAGAGCGATGGTATCGTTACTCGTTTGGCACGTAGGGCGCTTGTTGAAAATAAACGTCGTCCATATTAATATTAGGGGTTAAAGTATGAAATTGCCGTTTTATTGCA